ATCAATAACACGTTTATTGGACAGTTCATACAGTCATTGGGCACTGCATCATCTACGTTCTTCAGCTTCTCACACAAGTCATAGAATCTGGAAGGCCCTTTGCAGGAACTGCAGTGAAATAACTGCTCTTGGGGCTGGGGATATGGCTCAAGCGGTAGCGCGCTCGCCTGGCATGCGTGCAGCCCGGGTTCGATCCTCAGCACCACATACAAAGATGTTGTGTCCGCTGAAAACTAAAAAATAAATATTAAAATTCTCTCTCTTTTTCTCTTTAAAAAAAAAGAAAAAAGAAATAACTGCTCTTCCTCCTTCCTCCACAGTGTCAGAAGTCCAGACACAAAAATGGTCCTGTTTGGGTCTATGCTTGGACAGTGTCAGGGTTGTGGTGCTAATTGCTAATCACCAAGGGAAGAGCAGGTCCTCAGCCAGGAAGACAGGTGGAAGACAGAACCCTGGCAGGAAGTAGCAAAGTCCTCTTGGCCTTTTCTTATAGGGAGACGGTGTCCTAAATAGGTGGCTCTGGGGTACAAAGGTTGAAATAGCCTCTTACATAGGAAGTGTGATGGGGCTGGTTGATCCCAGTGGATAGAGCTCTTCTTTTCTTCTTCTTTTAAAAATTCTTAATGTATTAGTGAATACATATTAGCCTAACTTTCTGTGCTACTTAGCTTGAGGGATCCAGGATAGGACCACATCCTTTTCTCCTGGTACTCAGAAACCAAACTGGAAACTGGCATGAAGTTGGCATTTAGGAAATATAGAGATTAGGGGTAGGAGAAAGTCATATTTTGTAAGATGCTTTTTGGGGCTGTATATTTATTCCTTGTTGAGTTTATTTCTTCACCTAATATCCCTCAGCTTTTAGTGAAATCTTATTTAAATGTTATATCTAATCCCAGATGTCCTGGGGAAATTATGCAAGAAAAAAATAGATGAAAAGGTTATCTATGCCAAATTGTAAAAGGGGACATAATGGCCCTTCCCCCATCCTCTTCCACCTCCCCATTCTCCCAGGGCAACAGAAGTGATCGTAATTCCCCAAAGGGTAGATAAACTTCTAGAAGAGCAGGGACATTGAGGACCATCTCTTGGACAGTCCCCGTTTCTAGTCTCATCCTCTTTTACTGGACTGAGGAAAGCAGCAGGTTTCTTGGGGCACCAGGCCTATATTTTAGATTTAAGAGTCTGGTGTATGGTTTAGTAGTGGGTAGCAGTCTGCACTTTGGTGGAACACACAGTAAAATAATCCGATCTGAACTGGAGCTGACAGCTAGAGTTTCTCATGGTCTTGTCTGTCTGCTGGCACCAGTGAAAACTACAGAAACCTAGAACCTAAAACATCCTGGCTGTTCTTAAGGTGCACCTTCTGTATTTTACATTTTTCTAATAGCTACCCAGTTAATGCCAGATACTCTGGTGCTAATTACATAATTTATATTATCAGTAATCTTCATAATTCTTCAAGGTAAAATATTGCTAAACCTACATTTACAGATGAAGCTACCAACACATAAAACTTATAATTTGCCCAGGTTGGAGCAAGGTCACATGCTGGTAAGGGTCTATGTTGGCCCTGGAACCAGGGTTTGCCTGAATCTAAAATCTTATTTTTCACCATATCAAAAACATATGAGGGTTGTCCACTACCATCTATAAGGAAATTTTCAGACATTTTGGTTACTGAATTATTTAAGGGTTACTGATTACTTGCAGTTTTTTCTTCCTTTTTCTCCCCCAATGGACCCCTTGCTCTGCATATGCCAATCTAGACAGTTCTTGCATTTTTTGAGTTCATGCATGCAAAGTACGTTTTCAGATTGGGACTGAAAACTTGAAAGGAGCAATATGAAAGTGAAGGGGACTTGGCAGTGAAGAATTATATTTCAAGTTCTAGTTCTCCATACCTATAATACTCAGGGAATTTGTATGCAAAGTTTGTGTTAGCTTTCTGTCACTATAATAAACACCTAAGACATCAATTTATAAAGAGAATAGGTTTATATTGGCTCATAGTTTTATAGATTTCCATCCATGATTGGTTGGCTCCATTGCCTTCGGGCCTGTGGTAAGGAAGCATATCATGGTGGTAGCATGAGGTAGGGCAAAACTGCTCACCTCATGGCTGGAAAGCCAATAAGAGAAAGGACAGGGTTAGGGGTATAGCTTAGAGATTCAGCACTTGCCTAGCATGCATCATGCCCTTGGGTTCATGCCCAGTAAAAAAAAAAAAAAAAAAAAGAAAAAGAAAAAGGAAGGGACCAGGGAGGGACCCATATTCTTCTTCAGGGACATGTCCCCAATGACCTAATTTCCTCCCACTAGGCCGCACCTCATAAAAGGTCTACTACCTCCCAATTGTGCCTCCCTGAAGAGCAATATTTAGACACTCCATGGGCCTTTGTGGAACAATCTAAACTATAGCTAACTGCCTCTTCTTGCCTCTTTTATCTCCCAGGTCAGCTCAAATCCTGGCTTTTGTTTAACAGCCTCCCCTACAGGTATCAGATCAAATTAAAAGCTCCTTTTCCATATTCTGGTAACATACTGCTCACCTGACACTTTAATCAGAGCTGACTTGTACTTTCCTTTAAATGTGTCCTGAGCTTTTGTTTTCCACTATTTCAGCTATCAAAGGTACCAGGGCTTAAGGCCACCCTTCTTTTATTCCTTTGTCACAGATGGTACTGTAATCATAGGAATAGCTCAATAATACTTAATTGACTAATTAATAGTTGAAAAATAAATGAATTTGGGATAATTCAGGGACTAAGTAGATTAGGATAGTAGAAATAACAAGTGACATTTTTAAAGTAAGGTTTACAAAACATTCCTCATGTAGTCTCATTTTTTTTTCTCACAGTAACTCAGAGAGGAAACTCAATGAGATTAAGTGACTCTCAAAACCCAGACCCTCTAACCTCAAAGCTTGTATTATTTCCATTATTGTTGACTCCCAAGGCTGACTATACAATGACGTCTAGAGACTGCCCCTTCCTGCAGAGCATCCTTACCAGCAGAGGGCGCAAGAATGTAAAAGGGTCTTGGAATGGGTCGGGTTTGCATGCTGGCCCAGCCACCCTGGTCTACATGACCAGGGGCAAATTATTCATTTTTTTTTTTTTTTTGAGCCTTCTCTTTAAAAATATTAATGATAATGCTCTCACCACCATCACAGGGTGGTCATAGGACAATAAATCACAACTTTCATGTTTCATAAGGGATCATAGAAGCCTGAGGTAGAACAGACATTGATTCTTATTTAATGCTTTGATAAATATTTGAAATTAGTTTGCATACTTGACACTTAAAAAAGAGTTACAGCAAGTGGGTAAAGTAATGGAGATTAATGAAAAATTTCAACAGTCAGCAAGAATTCGAGGAAGCAGTTTGGAACAACCTTTCTGGATTGAAATGATAAGTGACTGGCCCCAGCAACTATTTAACTTAAGAAAATAATATTGCATGGTAGTAAGACTTTATCATTGCTCATCAGTGCTCTCTTCATAATAGTAAAAGCAGAAATACCAATTTATTAAATGCACAGGTTTATAACTTATAGTTTCTCCATCAGATTGAACACTGTGTAGCCATTAAAGCAATGCTCTAGGAGAATATTCTAAATATAAAGATGATCAGGACAAGGAGGCAAAGCCCATATGATAAAAACAGCCTGATTTTGATTTTGTTTAAAAATATACACAAGACAAATCAAAATATTAAGGTATTTTAATGGATGAGATTGTTGATTTTTGTTCCTCTTTGCTTAACATTTACCACCTTTGTAATATAGAAAGTTCTTTCTTTTATAGGAGCAGAGTTGAAGTCCTTCATTAAATACTGCCTGCTAGCACAATCAGGCCAGTAGTTATGTAAATTAAGTCAACTGTAATAAAGAGACTTGGATGTTTCAAGGTAAATAAAGTAATTAAAATCCTGATGAAATTTCCCCAAGTAATCACCAAGTTTTGATTTAGCTGCTGTAAGAATGCAGTAAATAGACACCAAGCTCCACTTTTTCAAAAGGCCTAAAAAGGCAGAAAATATGAACAATTGTTCATGTTCATGTAAAAAGCCATGTGACCTGTGTGTCCCAGAGCAAATGTAACCTGAAACACACCCTATCTCCTACTCAAGGCTGGCTGCACATCTCTGGACAGTGTGTTTGCTCTCCATTACTTAATTTACTTTCCTGAACTTGAAATGGAGTGGAATTTCAATGTAGAGTTACCCATTAGCTCCAGGGCTAAATTTAAACCTTTAATTAAATTAATCTGTTGATCTTAAGCACATTGCTTCTCCCTCAGAGAAGTGAAGCAAGTTTTTTACGTGTCACAGAGTTTAATTCAGTGTGACAGTAGTTCTTTATTGCATTTGGGAGGTCACTCAAACTGCCTATAGAAATCCCCCCACGATTTTTGATTGCTTCAGGCGATGGCTCCACCCCCATCCTCACTGGTTGGAGTTGGGGTTGGGGCTTCCACACCTAGATTAGGAGCCGCCCCTCTGGAAGGGTCATAGCGTCCTTGGCAAATAACCCACATCTCAAGAAGACAAGATAGGCGTCAAACGGATGTTTATGAAATACGTGCCAGAGTAGCTATCCATATTGGTCCTGGCTTATGGGGGTGGAAAAGATCATAATCCTCAAAAATTTGCAAGGCGACAAGGAGACTGTTTTAGCCCGTCTCAGTCTCTATAGAAAACCAATCACATTTTAGGGCCAAAGTGAAAATTTATGTTGGTCTTTACTCAGGGAGATGAAAAGTTCCATCGGGTCCAACAGTAAGGCAGGGTCCAGTTAACTTGTCCAAATCTCTGTGTCGCTCCAAATAACTCTCCTGCAGAACCATAAGTCTCCCAGGAGCACATCCCCACGCTATGACTCACAGGTTCTGTTTGCACCCCCAATTCTCAGAGCTAGCGTGCTGGGGTAACGTGCTCGCCTCCCGCACCTGGCTTCTGCGCGCCCCGGGAGCCACCAACACTCCCAGCAGGTAGCTGGGACGACCTGCACAGCCCCGCCACGCGCCAGCTCTCCCTTCCTCCTCTTCTTCCTCCTCCTCTGGCCCCTTAGCGGCCGCCGCCTGCGGCTTTGTTTTCTTCCCAGGTTTCATTCCCCACACGTGATACTGTGTTATTGCTTCGGAGCGTGAGCGCGGGGCGCGCGCACCTATAAATACGAACACAGGGCCGGGGAGCCGGACCAGCCAGGCGACCCGCGGACGGGCGGACAGCCAACGAGCCAGCAGCAGCCGCCGCCGCCGCACCAGCAGCGAGTGAGGGAAGCGCGCGTGTGGGTCGGCGGCGCCCCCCGCCCGAGCACCGAGGGGCGAGCATGGCCCGCCTGCGGGGGGGTTGGGCCGCCGCGCACGCCGCCTGCGCCCCGCGCCCTACCCAGCCCGGGTCGCCGCGGCTCGCGCCCGCAGCTTAGCATTCGGCGCCGCTCGCTTCTCTGGGCATCGCGGAACTAACGCCGCAGACGGACACAATGGCGGCGGCGACCGCCACCGCCGGCTCAGCCGCTTGCAGCAGCGGCGGCAGCGCTGGCACCGACGCCGCGGGCACCAGCGGGTTGCAGCCGCCGCTGCCGCAGCCCCAGCCCGCGGCCGCCTCACCGGCCCAGCGGCCGCCCGAACCCCCCCGGAAGCCGCGCGTGGACCCACGGCGCCGCCAGGCTGCCCTCTCCTTCCTCACCAACATCTCGCTGGACGGACGGCCGCCGCTGCAGGAGGAGGAGTGGGGCGGCGGCGAGGAGAGCCGAGCAGCTAAGCCCGGAGCGGGCAGCGCTTACGGCGCTAGGACTCGGCTCAGCCTACTGGCCGCCGGCTGCAGCGCGCTCGCCGCACCGGGCACAGCGGCCGCGGCGTTGGCTACTGGGTCTAGCCCCTTCCCACTGCAGCCTTCGCTGCTGCCGCCCCTGGCTCCGGGCGGCCACGCGACCCTGCCCGGCCCCGGAGCGTCGCGGGCGCTCGCTAGCCCTCTGGGCGCGGGCCGGACGTCGGGGGAGCTTTTGCAAACGTCCCGGTCGGCGCCTCTAGCCTCCTGTTCTCAACTGCAGCTGCTGGATGGGCCCGGGAGTGCCGAGCAGGAGGAGTTGGAGGAGGACGATGCCTTTACCACCGTGCAGGTGCCGGCAGCCGCCTTCTTGAGCTCCGGGACCCCCGGGAGTGGGAGCGGCAGTCGGGGCCGTCTCAACTCGTTCACTCAGGGAATCCTGCCCATCGCCTTCTCCAGGCAGATCTCACAAAACTACTGCTCCCTGGAGCAGTCGGGTCAGAGCGGCAGCACCAGCGCCTTTGAGCAGCTGCAGAGGTCTCGGTGAGTACCCTGGACGCTACACGCGCCCTGCTCTGCGTCGCTGTCCACCCCCCGGCACGCCCAGCCTCCCGGTAGTCTCTAGACTGTACTGCACGCACTGGTAGCTCCCACTTTCCCGCGCCCATTTGGATCCAGGGCTTCTGGCCCGAATTCCAAACCATTTGGGGCACGCGAAAGAGGAAGAGAGTCCAGGGGGTGTGTGGTCATACGTGTGTTTGCGAACCTGGCACTTGCAGAGCAGGAGCACCCTGCTAATGTCATGGCCTGGGAGTTGGGAGTTGCAGGAACCCATTAAAAAGGGGCTCCCGAACCTCACAGCACTAGGAGATCCTGAACTTCCTGAAACCCGGTTCAGACCCGGAGGTGCGATCCTCCAGCTGGGCTGGCAGCCGGCGGTCACAGCGTGGTGCGGTGGGTGGGGCTCGCGGCTGGGCGGCGCGCGGGAGCCTGAACTAGTAGCAGACACGCGAGAATCTTCCAAAGTTCCTTTCTGAGTTCAGTGTTGCTGTGGTAGGGGGAAACTTGGCGTTTTCTTTTTGCTTTCCTAAGAAGTGGGAAGTCTTTACATTCCCTTGAGCCCCCGTACCCCATTCCAGGATGAATTTGCTCGAGTTAGTTAAAAGCTTATTTTACCTGCAGGCATACTAGCAAAACCACGAAATGTTTCATATTTACTTATCCAGGAAATGGCAGGAGCTTGTTAGGGACCGTCTGTTAGATTTGTGTGGGACTTGGAGTTTGGAGAGCAGCGGGAGTGGGGAGCAACTGGCGAGATTTATGCCTATTCCCTGGGAGGCTCTGATCTTAAGTCAATCTACTGTGAAGTAAGTTACAACATAGACTCCACCTGGGTTCGGTTGATTTAGCAGAGTGGAGCCTCAGTTTACCCTTCAGGGATAGACCCTTGCCAGGATTCTGAAGGCATCAAGATGAGCTGGAAGAACATTCTCTATTAGAGTCTGTCTCCTGTAATGCGCCTGTTTTGATCTGGCCCAAGTAAGAAGGTAGCCTGTTGGAAAACTTCTCCTTGTAATCAAGTCAAAGAACAAGCCGGCTCATCCAAAGTTGACTCTTGCCGGTGGATGAAATCAGGCCGGTGCTGATGTGTATATTGCAGTTCAAGTGCCTGTAGGCTCAAGGGCCAGGGGTGTGGAGTCTGGGAAGCAACCTTGTGATTGCATGGATGAATTAGTGACACTGGGCACAGGTGACAGTCCGCTTCTGGCATTTCTTGTTAGAGCATGTATCTCCCCAGTAGCGGGTGAGTGCGTGGGAGGGGGAATCCCTTTCTGGGCAAGTAGTGCACACTCAGCAGTTTCTGGGCAGCCCTGTATTACTGCTTGACATCGCACACCGGCTCATAATTCTGGAGTTTGAGCCCAAGCCCAGCAGTCAGTGGGTCATGACAGGAATTATAATAAACATACGTGTTATTTTAAGCCAGTGTGCAAGGGCTGGCCTGTGTCACCTGGTAGACAGATGTATTCCCTGTGCTGCAAACAGCTGGAGATCGGATTACCTCTAGCTCTTTCTCTAAGCAGCTAATTGCAGGGATATGGATTATCTTGGGTTGTTATTTCTGAGCCAAAGAACATCCACAATTTTCTCTCTAATCCTATCTCTGTGAACCTTTAGGATGTTTTTCTTGATCCCTCGCACTTCAACACATTAAGATGAGTTAGTATTAAGATGCATCCTTACCTGTCAATCATGTTCATCTTACTATATCTGAATAGTCCATATCTGGTAACTTGATAGGCACTTTTAAAATGACAACTGTCAACAGAAACAGTATCAAATTTGATGTGCCAGCAAGGGAGGATGTAGGGAAAATTAATTTGAGAAGAGGCCTTTTAAGAAAGCCCAGCTTGGCTGAGGAATGGGGTCAAATGTGGCATATCCTAGGACATGTACTGTTTTTCAGACCATTGTCTGAAGTATACTGCTTTTATGATTTCTGAAGTGTACTTTCACCTGGTTTAGAGTACAAACTTATTTGAATAAGGCACGGGTGGGGCCTGTTTTGGGGGCTTCCCTTCCCTTCCCTCCCTTCCCAGTGAGCTCCCTTTCAGAAGCCAGCCTGTGTGCTTTCTGTATACTACTTTACCTGGATGTCGTTTGCCAATGAAATTAGATTTGCCTTGGGTTCATTTCTAGCTGAATTCCATAGAACTTTTCTGCTCCAAAGTTGAGCTCCCAGATCTCAGCCTCACCAGGAACTCTTAAAAATGCAAACTCCTCGGCCCCACCCTCACCTGCTTCAACCCAAATCTACATTTTAACCGGAACCCCAGGGGATTCATTTACAAATTAAATTGTGGGAAGCACTGCTTAATCTTTAAACCAGTCCCAAGGAATTAAAACTGATCGGGGTGAATTGCTTGAACTTCCAAACTTTGAAATACAATAGGGAGGAAGATTTCCATGCCCAAGTTTAGGCAAGAGTGTGTGCTCAGTGAAGAGAGGTGCATGCAAAGATCACACCATTTTTGTATGCTGAACCTTGACATCTATCACATTTGACCCTCACAGCCACCTGTGAGTTCTTTCACAGGTGAGGAGACCGTGGGCCTTAGGGAGGCCTATTAACTACCTTGGACTGGCCCAGCTACTAAGAGGCACTTAAGATAATGGGTGAACCCCATTTGGGCCAGGATAGGAACCTGAGTTTTTTTTTTTTTTTTTTAATTAATTAATTTTACAATAGAATGCATTTTGACATAGGGAACCTGAGTTTTTGACATCCAAGCCTGACATCTTTTCCCTCGGGCACTCAATCCTTGACACTCTGCCTTACATACAGTGAGGCCACCTATCATGTTTGAGCTGCTGACTGTAAATGTCCGGGATACAGCTTGCAAGTCACTTTGGTGTGATTTGATATCGCAGGTTACTGGTTACCTTGACGAGTCCTGCTTCCTCAAATGTTGAAGTATAACACCAGGGAAGCACACCAAGCCTGGAGTAGAAAGTAAGAAACTTTATTAAAGGACAGTAAATCAGGGTGGAAGAAGGGGACAGACCCAAAGGTGGAATCCGTCGCTTTTATATGTCTAAAGTTTCCCTTGTTCTCCATTCTTCTCCCTTGTTTATTTCCTCTCATCCTGCAGAGTGACTGGGGGATGTGGATGGCATGGCAGGGGGTGGGGGGTGTGCAGGTACAGGTGGGCTGGAAGGGCCTAGGTGAAGTGCTGGGCAGGAAGGGAGCATCAGCCCAGGGGCATTGGTTAGCAGCTCCCTGTCTGCTCTGGAGTTGCTTCATTTACAACCTTTTTGGGAGGGGGAGTACCTAAGGGCTCTGGAGACTTGAGCATCTTTCCAGTCTCCCAGGGGCTGTTTCCAATCCAGACTCAATTTTCTCCATCAGACCTGATTTAACTAGCTACCCTGACTACCTGTCTTTATATCTGGCTTCAATTTGTACCCCTTTAGTGATTCCTGGCAAGTTTTGCCTCTTTGTTTAGGTCTCCCCGGTTTTGCTGCTGTGTCTTAGGCTCTGTTCTGTTAGACTGTGGCCTGGGGATCCTACTAGCCTTGTGAAGGGTCCCCTGTGGCCTGGAAGCCTGCACTGGGGTGTGCAGAGGCACCCCTGTTGAGTTTCCTCTCTGCTGGAGCAGTGAGACACCCATCAGGAAGGTGTTAATGGGTGAAAGGGAGTGTAAACTTAGAAGGTGTCTTAAGGCTTCTTTTACTTTAAAAACTTCACCCAGGCAGCCGCTGGCAGCAATCCTGATTACTCCATTTCCTGGAGCTTCTGATGGCCACACAGCTGCCCAGCAGCTGTCTCCAGCCCAGGTGGAAGCTCTGTGCCTGCCAGAAGAGTGGCTTGGTGACTGGGGTAGTCCTTAGAAATGGCAAGCGTCTTTTACCTTTTCTGAACACCTGAGTTTGAATCATGCCAAGTGGAGAGTTGGGCCCTCCATGGGAGGAGGGAACAAGGTGCAGAGGAGCCCCTTGGCCTGGGTCCCAGTGCTGTGGCCAGGGCAGCCTTTCCATCCCAGGCAGGTTAATTAGCCCTTCTCCTCCGGAGAGCCTGGGTGATGGCTTGGGCTCTTTAAGCCAGATGCCTGTGGCACTGACATTTGTTGTGGAACATAGACTGAGTGTGGGCAGGGGGTGCTAAAAGCTTCCAGAGGCTAGTCAAATGTTAATGTATTTAGGATGGGGGGGGGAGGCGGGGTCCCTTCAATGGCACATTCTTCTTTTTGATAGCTCTAGGCTCTGTACTGCTTTGTTCCTATTGTAAGGCTGAGGAAACTGGAGCTCAGATGTGTTAAGTCATTTGCTCAAGGTCACTCAGCCCTGCTCGATGAGTTCTGGCTCATTCCTGACTGCTTACCCTGGCCACTTAGGGCTTCTGCCTCTCCTTTGTGCACCGCCCCTCTTGGGGTGGAAACTGGGCTCTGGCTGTAAACTGTAACCTCAGTGTCTTGACTGAAAAAGAAAAATGCAAACCGACCAGTAGTTGAGAATCAGCGAGTGGGAAGGGAGATGGTCATTCTTCCTTAACTTTGTCACCACCTGGCCATGTGACTTTGATCTCCCTAGCTTATTGCTTAAGTTGTCTTTGAGCCATTTTCCCAGCCACAGTTACAGAAGCCCAGGCTGCACGCAGTCTCAGGCCAGGCCCGGCTCTGGTCAGGACACTTTCCAAAGTCTACGCCTGGTTTGTGCCTGGCTGGGAGTTAGGCCGTCCACTAGTGGCCCTAGCTGCTGGCAGAGGCATCCCGGTCCCCGCCCACTCCCGTCCTTGTCCTCCTAGAGCCTGTGATGTGGGTGAGCTCAGGAGGCAGCTGGCAAGTGCCCAGTGAGGGCAGCGAGTTCAAGGGTGACCTTTTGCTCTCTGGAAGGGTGGGGCAGCCTGCAGGGCTCTGTACACTGTCCCACAGCTGGCCTGGGAGCTTCCCTCGAGCCTGGAGATTGTTACATTGTGGATGGGGGCTGCAGACAGGAGGCTTTGAGCAGAATGGGAAGAACTGGTGGGTGAGGTGGTGACCTCATGTGGGACAGAGACTTGGGAACCCTACCTTCTGGGCCAGGTGGGTTCTTAGGAACCCTGGTGGAAATAAAGGATTGGGACAGATGAGTCTGCCTTCTTGTCCTGATCTAGCATTCCTGTGGCCCACTGCAGGGCCTGGGACATGTGGGAAATTGAACTCTAGGCACCAAGCAGCTGTGAGTCTGTTACACAGCACTGGTCTCAGAATGCACATTAATGAATGAATGAATGAATGAATGAGTGGAGTAGGGGGAACTGGAGTAGCAGGGAACCCTCAGCTGTAGGTCTCCTAGCTGGACAAGAACTTAGGGACATCCAAGCTGGAAGCCACCTTGCCTGACAAAGTGGTCAGTTCCCCAGTCAACACCCCATTCCTCCGGGAGGAAGTGATCTCTATAACTTAGTGGCTAAAAGCCTCAAGTTCACAAAGCGCTTTTGTAGACATTGACTTCAGCCCCAGAAGGTAGGAGTCTAAGGTCATGCAGTGGACTAGGGGTGGCATTAGGTGCTTTGTTATCTGTCAGGTATGTAGTAGAGGAAATTCTACTAATGAGACTTAATGCCTTGCATCACTTATTCATTCAACAAACATGGAACATAATGAGTATCAATTATGAGGCATCACTGTGCTAGTCGTAGGAGATAGAGACATAAAACCGGGTCCCTGACTGTGTTGGGTGACGTAAGCAAACAAGCATTTAGCACAGTGATGAGTGTGTGGTTAGAGGTGAACTTGGTGTTTGAGCCCCCACAGAGTGGGACCCTTCTGACCCTCCCCTGTGGGAGGCCTTACAAATGGCCTAGGACACAGTATTTTTTTTTTTTTTTAAGATGTAATTTTTTTTTAGTTTTCGGTGGACACAACATCTTTATTTTATGTGTATGTGGTGCTGAGGATCGAACCCAGTGCCCCGCGCATGCCAGGCGAGCGCGCGCTACCACTTGAGCCACATCCCCAGCCCCACAGTATTTTTATTTAACAAACATGGGACAGGCATTATTCTAAGCACTTTATAGGGACTGAATTCATATATAGCACCCCTGTTTCAAAGCACAGAGAGGTTAAGTAACTTACCCAAGGTCTCTGAGTCTGAATGTGGGAACTGGGTTGGCAGCTAGGCTCCAGGATTTGCAGTCTTGCCCACTTCACTTGGCTCTGTGGACTACGGGCCAGACTCACAAATGCTTGTTAAACTGGCTTCCGCTGAACCTGGCAGAAGTTGACCTAAATAACCTCAAAGGTCACCACCTACTCTGATTTCCTTATTTACATTTCTACCTCTCTGTCATTCAGGGAGGATCTTTGTGCATGAGGACCCAGAGGCAGGGCCAGGGTGGACAGGGATCACTGTGGCCACAGTAGTGAAATCCTGCCCAGTGCCGCCTTGTACTTCCCCTCTTTAGCCGGATCCCGTCTCCTTTGTTGCCTCTTACTTCTGGCCCTGGCTTGTCAGGGCTTGGGGTCACCCTTGGGAGCACCAGCCTGGCCTCCCCCAGGGTGATGTGGGCTCTGCCCCTCATCCTGACCAGGTTCTCATCCACGAAATGGGAATAATAACCCTGTCACCCTCCTGGGCCTCTGTATCTTCTCAGTTTCGCCCTTTTCCCCAGGCCAGGGGTTGGCAAACGGTGGCCCTCTGGCTGTGTATACATAACACTCTCTTGGAAACTGCAGTGTCTACTTGTGTATGTGTCCTCTTTGGCAGTCTTTGTGCTCTGATGACAAAATTGAATAGTTGCAACTGAGACCACATGACGTGCAAAACTCTAAGCTATTTTTCCCCGTCTTGTCCCAGAAAAAGGGTGCCACCTCTGCCCTAGCCCAGTGCCCAGGAGGTGTGCAGGGCCCTGGGCCCCAC